CCCATGTTGTAGCATGTGACAAGATTACCTTCATTTTTAAGGCAATATTATTACATTTTGTGTCTATATTTCACATATTGTTTATCTACTCATGGACATTAGGGATGTTAGTATGTGTCACCTATTGAGTAATGGTGCTATGAACATAGATATGCAAATATAACAGATGCATAATTTGATGACCCCACTAATAGAATATAGGGTTTCTAACTTACCCAAATTCCCAGTATTATAATCAGGGCTTACGAGGGAAATAATACAATACAGGACACATAATGTACAGGATTATTTTATAATAGCCAAACTGTTTAGTACAAAGGACTTCAGGAAATCTATCCACACACTAAAGGCTGAAAGAATCCAGCCAAGCATCTGGATCCTACAGCAATGTCCTGCCTGAGTCCAGCTAAAGACGTGGAACTCATAACAATGCCCCCCCCCCCATGAGTCCAGCTGGAGACCAAGAGCACACAACAATGTCTCATGCATGCCTGTTTCATGGATTTGTGCTGGAAAGGCCCAAAGGTCAGTGGTGGAAACTAAAACATCTGTGCTGGAGAGATAAAGGATCTGGGATAGCAGGCTGAGGGATTTTTTTTTTTTTTTTTTCTTTTTTTGGTGAAACTGGAGATTGAACTCAGACCCTTGCGCTTGCCAGGGAAGTGGTTATTCTACTGAGCCATCTCCCCAGCCCCGAGGGATCTTCACTGGAGCCAGGAAGCAATGCTCAAATTAAGAACCAGAGCTCTCCGAAAAGTACCACACCCATCTTCAGTGACAACAAGATCCAGAGCTCCTCTGAGAGAAGAGGAGTCCATATCAGGAAAGCCAGCATGACAAGCTCCTCCAGGAGAATGAACTCCATCAGGAAAATCGATAGCTCTCAACAACACCTTTTAAACTTCTTCCTCTCCAGTTCTGCCTCTCATGCTGATGAGAACAATCCTCAGGTGGGCCACCCATAGCCAGAACCACACTGATTCAGTTTAGTTGGTGTAACAAGTTGTCTACCAGTTGCTAATCTACCACAGTCCACCCGTTTAACTTGATAACCATATATATTTTCTTAAACCTTAGTCTCTAGTGGCAGATTTGTGAAAATTTAACATGTCTTGGTCTATCCAGATTTACATTAATATAACACTTATATATACACAATTCTTTTTGCACTCATTTCTGCATCAAAAGCAAAATATTCAAAGGATGACCAAAATTCAAGGCTAAAGTCACAATATTTTGACTAACCTGATTACAAACACATATCTAAAAACAACATTAAAAACATATTAAAAGAACTATTACAATCACAGTCCTTCCTTCTCATTAATTTTTTTTTTCAGGCCCCACAATATATTACCTGGGATCCAGGAGTAAATGCAGTCCTTCTCAATAGAAGCCTCCTGAGCTTCATCTTCACTGCCAGCATTTCTATCAATACTCTAATTTTCCAGACTCCACCCAGCATCTCCAATACAATTAATATCCTACAGGGGCTGCCTCTTTGGCCAATCTCTCAAAATTTTTCCAAATTAATTCCAAAAGTTCTGAACAATATCACAACAATGACCCCACTCTTTCAGTACCAACTTTGTCTTATTGCTGAGACAAAATAGTTGATGCCCAAAATTAAGAGAGGAAAGGTTTATTTAGCTCAGTTTGTAGAGGTTTCAGTCCATAATCAGATGGCTCCAGATAGGGTGGTGCGACAGAAGAGCAACAGTTGATGGCATTGGAAGACCGCAAAAGCAACAAGAGCAAAAAGGAAGGAGCAAAAGAGCAAGCCTCTTTCCCTGCTTTATACTGTATGCAGGCCACCTGCCCCAGGGCAGAGGTAGCACTCCCACCGATAATCCTAGCATTGATGACCATGAATCAATTACAAACACTAGAACCCACTCTTATGAATGCTTGAAGCTTTGGGGGGACATTCAGACACAAACCATATCACCCACCAACACTTATTATTTTTTACCATATTAATAATGTGTATGCGGTCATATCTCATTATAGTTTTGATTTTTATTTCACCAGTGATTATTTACTGTATTTCAAAGTGTTAACTAAGTCCTCACTGATCTTTGTACTCACCAACTTGGTAAAACAAACCTGACAATACCAGGGATTGATGAGGACAGATTAGAAAACAAATAAAAACCAAATAAACAAAAATATTCTACAAGCTAGTAGTGGGTATGTACAATATTAAATCTCTCTGAAAACAATTTGGTATTACCTTGTAAAGTGAATCCTCACAGTCTGTTCCTACAGTGTTTTCCAAACCTTGGATACCACTTCAGTTTTGCGAACAATTTGTTCAGTCATAATTAGCTGTTTTGAAAGAGTTTGACAGTATAGATGCTGTTCAATTATTTTGAGAAACTTCTGGGTTTTTTTTTTTTTTTTTTTTTTAAATTCATTTATTTATTTATTGTGTGTGTGTGTGGCCAGTTCAGCCCACCAGGGGGCAGGGCTGGCTGGCATGTGGCGCTGGGGATTGAACCGCGGTCCCTGTGCTTTTGCTTAGCTTAGCTTGTTCTAAGTAGGTGCTTTAGACCACTGAGCCATCTCACCAGCCCTGAAACTTCTGTTTTATATAACTGAGTATGTTTGCTGCTTGAAGACACCAAGTCCATTTCTTACACTATTAGTAGTGGCAATAATGTCTAAAAGCCTCTCATACTGAGTTCTTACCCATAGTATTATGTTCCTAGTAACAAAAAAATGGAAAACAATCCAAATGTTTACTGGGGTTTGTAAATTTGTATTGGCATATCTACACAATACAACTCTCTAAAGAAATGAAAGTGAATATATAAATTTTACACAGCACTTAACTAAATATAAATTATAAAGATTGATAGTTTTATAAAGCTCAAAAACAAGAACTGAATGATATGTTGTTAGGGGTACATTTGTGGAAAGGAGAAAATAGAAATTACTAAATACTAAATAAAAATTCTAAGTATATTTGGCAAGTGGATGAAATAGGGAAGAAAAATATGAAATAATCAGATTGGTAGTGCTGTAGTTCTTAGGTAGTCATGACTTTTTATTATTATCACCATAACTCTGAATGGAGCAAGTACATGTACCTTCACAATTTGCATATTTATTGAAGGTTTCATTTGTTTTCGGAAACAGGCACTATATATGGTCCAGGGTGCCTTGCTTTCAAGATCCTCCTTTCTCGGCCTGCAGTGGAATTACACACTAGTTTTGCCCAGAGCAGCAATATATGGAAAGTTATTACTACAGATGGTCAAATAATTTACCAACAGTCAAGGAACATGGAAGAGTAAAAAGTTTGCTGATAAACTGCAAAAGAGCAGGGAATGGAGGGAGGGGAGAAGAATGGGGGAAAAATAAAAGCAAGCATGTAGGTACAAATTCCACATGATGAATGTTATCACTATGTATATCTAAAATGTACTAGCAAAACAAAACAAAACAAAACAAAAGAACAGGGGGGAAGTTCCAAAAGAGAACCTCTATATTTTAATGGGAGGAGGAGTATGAGAAAATCATCTCTGAAACACCTTGATCAGGTCATGGTGATCCTGTTCACTCATCTTGGATCTCATGTGTTGTCTGAACACTGACTTTGTATCTGTTTGACAGGGTCTAGTACCTGCAGCATTGCAAGGAACAATCCTGCAGGTAAAACTGATAAACAAGTGTGCAAAGATTAGAGTCAAAAGTTGAGTGGGAGAATAAAGTATGTACCTTTGTATTTCAAAGGGACTTTTGAAGTTCCATGGTAATAGGAGAATAAATGCTATTCTTCAAGGAATGCTAGAACTTGTTTCTGCATGTAGCTTGCAAGGAAGAGTTAATATTATGGTCCAAGCTAATCACTCAGCTACAATTTTTTTTTTTTTTTTTTTTTTTTTTTTTTTGTCTTTTTGAAACAGGTCTTGCTATACAGTTCAGGCTGACTTTGAGCTCACTTTGTAGTCCAGGCTGGTCTCGAACTTGCAACAATCTTCCTGCCTCAGCCTCCGGAGTGCTGGGATTACAGGTGTACTACCACATCCAGCTACAATATGACTTTTAAAGAAACAATGATAAAACAATCCCATCCCCCCTTGCCTAGTTCAATTTACATATTTATAACAATGTTCACATTTATAAAATTGTTCAAAAAACAAAACCTGGATTTCCTGAAGAAAAAAAACGTTTTTAAGCTTATATAACGGGGTAGGGGTAGGGGGAATCCTTGTCAGTGTACCAAAGGTCAAGACAAATCTGTGTATACTTTACATTCAGTTGCTTCACGCAGTGGGATGGCATAAGGAATAATCACATGTAATAACGTCACTACCCTAAGCATGAAAATGAATTTTGTGTTTTTCTTGTGCCAGAAAATGCTCATGAACATACACACGTCTACCACAGCGTACCAGCACCTCAACCTTGTCCTGTACAACACCGACTCACACACAGGTCCTCTAGCCAGAACTCAGCGAACAACTTGTTACGGAAAAAAAAAAAAAAGAACCGGTGAGAGCCGTCCTTCTCAACTGTTACTTTAGAATTCTCTTTGCTTTCTTGACTTCCTTTTATGTATGCTGGAGTGGTTCATCCAAACTCCTCTGTAAGTAGAAAGCAACCAGCTCACGTCTGAAAAGTGACTTAGAAGAATCAAAAAAAAGTAGTTATGGGGGACAGGGCAGAGTGGGAGTTTTAAGGGAAAAGACACACTAACCTGGAGAAGTTATTCCTTAGAAGAAAGGGACTGTGGAAGCTAAGAAAACAGAAGTTTTCCATAGTAAGATTGCTAAAATAGTATACAAAAACGGAGCAGAAGTTTCAAGGCTCTTTTTCGGCATAATGACAGCATAAAATTCGCCTTTGGATGTCTACCTTTAAAACAGCCTATGAGTCGCTGGGATCCTGCAAATCCAGCCCTAAAGATGGCGTTGGGACGAAGCCCTTTCCCCCGTCGCCGCCAAGGCGCTAGCCTCACATTTCCCACAAGCCCCTCGGCGGCTCGAGCCCAAGAAAAACGCCTCGCGAGTGTCCCGCCACTGCGCACGCGCGAGAGCTTGTCACGTGGCTTCCCGGGCTGACGAGGCTGACAGGCGGAGCCTCGCGCGCTAGCTTCCGCTGCCGTTTCGTTTCAGGGCTCCAACCCTGGGTTCGCGCTGCCGCCGCCGCCGCCGCCGCCGCCGCCGCGGGGCAAACGGGAGGCGCAGAGCCAAGCGACAGGCACGTGGCCGAATGGCCATGGGCCCGCGCCAGGTCCGGTGACAGCAAGGACCGGAGCGGCCCGGGCCCTGAGCGCGTCTCCTTCGGGGGGCCTCGCCCTCCTGCTTGCGGGGCCGGGGCTCCTGCTGCCGTTGCTGGCGCTGCTCTTGGCGGCGGCGGCGGCCAGGATCATGTCGGGCCGCCGCTGCGCCGGAGGGGGCGCGGCCTGCGCGAGCGTGGTGGCCGAGGCTATAGAGCCGGCCGCCCGCGAGCTGTTCGAGGCGTGCCGTAACGGGGACGTGGAGCGAGTCAAGAAGCTGGTGACGCCCGAGAAGGTGAACAGCCGCGACACGGCGGGCAGGAAATCCACCCCGCTGCACTTCGCCGCAGGTAACCAGGATCCGCGCCGCCCACCTGTGCTGCGGGACTCCGAGGCCCGAATCCGCAGAGTGGCCCCGCCCCTCCCCCGAGCTCTCGCCCCTGGGACTCCAGGCTTGGCGGTCCCGGAAAGTGGGGAAATTGGTCGTGGGGAGCGTACGCATTGACTGGAATTTGGGGGGGCCTTAAGGGGGGTGGCTTTGTTTTGTTTTACAGTATCAGCAATACCTGTACCAACTTCCGGTCTTGCTACCCTGAAAGGCCCCACACAAGAAATAATGGGAGACGTAGTAGGTAGATCTTGTGATTCGAAACACTATCTCAAAAATTTTCTGTTCTTGCAAGTTCTACTATAGTTTATCAGTCCTCTGGGGTCTTAGAGGCCTTAGATTCCAGGGTGTAATTTATGAGTTGTTTCACGGGCTGTAGACACAGTAGAGTTAATTGGTTTATCAGTAGCCAATCATTAGTAAGTTTCCAGAGAAACTAGAATTAGCATTAGACAAGTTTGTAAGAACTGAAGTCTTAGGCTAAGGGCAGGAAGTCAGCCCCGCGCGCGCGCACACGTACACACGTTTGGGGTGGCAAGTAAGAGCTTGAGAAAAATAGTTCAGATACTTTAGCTTGTATCTGAAATTTAAGTTGGGACTCACTTTGCCTCACTGAGAGACTTAGGTCGCTTGAATTAGTTTCTTTTACTATAATTACTAGGTTCACTTAATGATAATAGTAGAATGTTAAAAATAGTGGGAATATGTAAAAGAACCGGAGATGAGACATTCAGCCAGTTTGCTGCAAAGCATTTGCTTTTTTGAGGAAAGGTGGTTACTACATCTAACCTCAAGTGAACCATGTGTGATTGAAATTGAGAGTAAATTCTCATACTTCTGATAATCCTGGTGTTTGTTTTGTGTACATCATGGTTTTTAAAACAATTTTTGAAAATCAAGGTCTACATATTTACATACCCTCTTTTGTGCACACAAATGATATGTAGAGGAACATGAGAAAAATATTCACAATTGCATTTACAGTGTCTACCGAATAGAGATATGTTTGCTTTAACCTGTGCCTATTTTAAAAAGTAAATACTTTTAGGAAGCATGCTTTCTTTATCAATTGTACCTTTGTTTCGTTTCCGTGGGGATTCTGTTAGGAGGGGAAAAACAAACAAACAAACAAACAAACAAACAAAAGATTTGGGGAGGATTGTCCAGGAGTACTAGAGACAGGGACAGTGGAAAGGAAAGTGAGAATCTTGAAGTCAGATCTCACCTAGATAATCATTTTGCATGATTTTGGTGGACAGGGCTGCCTTTCTTCAGTAAATTTAGATTGTCCTGTTTGACCATGTAGTTAGCATTTAACTGATTTGGCAAACTGTCACAAACAAATGCTACACAATCCAAAGGGTAATATTACTTAGATTATGTTCATTTGATCTGTGAGATAAAAATAACCAAGGAAGATCTTAGTTGCTACCTTTCAAAAATTTGATTTATGAGCTCATATCTCAAAATAGTATTTGGAGGTGTGCTATTATGATAGTAGCTTCTCACTGACCTTGTTCTTCCTCCATTAGCCCACCTTTTGTTCTCTCCCAACATATCAAAGCTTTTTTTTTTTTTTCACTTCCTTTAAAGCATTTTTTTTTTTTTTAAACATAGATTTAATGTTTGGTCAGATTAAAGTAAAAAATATTTTTGGAACCAGCCTGCCCATCACAATTTATTCATGTTATCAGGTTTAGCTTATAACATTTTAAAAATTAAGGTATAAACTGATTTACAACTATAATTCAAGCTTCTGTGCATTGTGGGTAAGGCCAGAGAATCACAAGTTTTACAATAACCTGGGCAAATTAGCAAGACCCTATGTCAGAATTTAAAACTAAAAAGGGATAGAGCACCTTTTGATTCTATCTCAGGTTCAAAATCCCCAGTACCAAAAAAAAAAAAAAAAAGTATAAAAAGAAAAGTACAACTAGCTTCATTTTCTTTTTAGCATTTGGAGAATAAATTTCATAATCTCTTCTGAAGGTACTGAATTATGAATCACGTTATTGTAGACGTAAGCATATATTTAGCTATCCAACATAAGTGATGGTACTATGTAACCTCCTGGCCAAGTAGTTTGTACATTTTGGAGGATGATTGTGGGAGGAGCAGGAAGAAAATGTTTTGTCTTTTAATTTTGTTTCTCAGTAACACTAGGAATGAGAGATGTGTGGAGACTACAGAAAATGAACTTTTATCTTTTCATTCAAAAAAAAAAAAACATTCAGAAGGGCTGGCAAGATAGCTCAGCACATTAAGCACTTAGGCAATCACAGGGATCAGGGTTCAATCTCCAGCACCACATGCTGTGCCAGCCACTGAGTCTGGGTGTGGTGGTGGACCCCTATAATCGCAGCACTAAGGAGGCTGAAAACAGGAGGATCAATATATGTCCTGCATAGTGAGAGACCCTGTACCAAATACGTTTAAAAAAAACCAACCCAAAACACCAGTTAATCAATTGCCAGCTGTAAAGGAGATAACTTCTCTTAGAGAAAAAAGGTAATTAGCATAAATGAGAACTTTTGGTTATTGAGATAGATAACACACTCCCAGACAACTGATTTAAGCCATTTAATTTCTTAGGAGAAAAATTACTCTGAAATTACATTTCCATCCACCCTTTGCCTGCCTCCTCCCATTCACACACGCACACCCACCACATGTAGACACACACAGAATATGAATAATTTTTGGTACAGATCAGAGAACTTGTAGAAGCAAGTTGGTGTAGCTCTAATAATACTAGAAAAACTATATGAAATTCTAGACATTGTAATCCCCTAGAAAAGAGCAGATAATGTTTTGAAGACTGCTTTTTTTTTTTTTTTTTGGCAGAACCAGAGATTGAACTCAGGCCCTTGCGCTTTCCAGGAAAGCACTTATTCTACTGAGCCATCTCCCTGGCCCCTAAGTCTGTTTTTTCTGAACTTGTTACTGAAAAATAGGTGACAGAAACTTCAGGAAAAAGTCCTATTGGTGCCCATCACAGTAAAAGATGAAAGCATTCCTTAAAGTCTCTCAAGTGGGATAAGTAGAGTGGAACTTCATAACTTGAGAATCTTAAATACATACTTTCAGAGACATATCATTCAATAAAGAAAAATTTATACTCTTATTAGTCCAGAATTAAGTATATAGACAGTGCAAATAGTTGATGAAAATGTTATAGAAAACAAATTGACAAGCTTATATTACAGTGTTAGTTAACACTTGTTTGATTTGTAGTATGTTATTGTTCCATATTCATTGAATCAGTTACACTGAACTTGGAATTATTATGCTCAGTTGTGTAAGTGAGTTGGATATATATTTTTCTCAGTACTAGGGATTAAACCTAGGGCCTTGGCAAGCACTCTACCACCAGGCTGTATCCTTTTTATTTTTTGAGACAGGATCTTCACACATTGCGCCAGCTGACTTCAAACTTTTGATCCCCCTGCCTCAGTCTCCCTAGTAGCTGAATTATAGGTTTATGGCATCTTTCCTCACTAAAAGGAAATTTTTCTTTCAGAGGAAGGAAATGAAATTAGAGCATCTAGAATTTGACACACAAGTAACAGATGAAAACTGCAGTTACATTAGAGATGAAAAAAAACTAGACCATGTTACCATCTTCACTTGTATTATCAGATTCATGGAGACCAGTAAGTTGATATGACTGTTAAGTGGATGTTTTGAGCAAAACTAAGGCAAGTAGTGTAACAGAAAAACCAGTATCAATCCAAGTGGAAGACTCTTTGCACTGCGAAGTTAGAAGACAACTTTTATTATATCATTAGGCTGGGGAACCCAGAGGTTCAAATCACCAGCCTAGAGTCAGGCTTGAGTTCAGTTTCAGTATAATTTAAGAGTGGGAAGTACAAAGCTGATAGCAGATTATTACATAATTGGTTACATGGAATGCAAGAATTATGTCATACAGGGGCTGGGAAGATAGCTCAGTAAACATTTGCCTGGCAAGCACAAGGTCCTGAGTTCAGTCCCCAGTTCTGCAAAAAAAAAAAAAAAAAATTATGTCATACATTGTCAGGCAGGTTTGTACAGGAATATTCTGGGAGGGAAGGGGTCTGAGAAGAGTAGATAGAGTTGAAAGTGTCCTTGATCGGGTCAGACTTCAAACATGATGGCCTTGAAGCAAGTTGGAATCACTGTATTTTTAAATCACAGGCCCTCCACAGTCAGTTTGGCTCACACATTTTTAAGAGGGAACATCTGGACCTAGACAGTCAGGGCTAGCAACGTGATGGGGAGCATGAGCATAGTCCCAGGCTGTGAATTGATTTCTAAATTTTCTTGTAATATGTCTACAAGTCAGTTATTCCTTAAATGTGCCCTAACTGTAGGACAAAAGTTGCAAGTGGACGAATTTTAACAATCTGTTGAGCTGAAGAAGTAGCTGAAAGCAATGCCTTGGCTGTCAACTTTCAGAGTTGTAGAGGGGGTTTCTGCATAGGTTGGACTGTTCTGACTTAACACGTTGCTAAATCCTATGTGACTCTTGATGTTTCAGGGGAAGGATAGCAAGAGGATGGGAAAAATAGATAAGAGACAAAAACTGAGTTCAGGTGGAGCCATCTGTCTCCCAATGGGAGGAAGAGACCTGCTCAACTACCACAGGGGTATTTATTTGTACAATTGACAAAGTTGGTATCATGTGACACAGCTTTGCCTAGCAACTGATTACTTAGGTTGTGACTGCCTTGGTGCTCCTTGGACTGAAGCAGCATGTGGGGTGCTCTTTGTTCTCAGACAGCCTTGCTTCACCCTCACAGAAGTGATAACTTTCCAGCCTCTCTACAACAGGTCATTCATCATATGACTGGCACAAAAAGTAAGGGATTCCCCCAATTCAAGGTTTCAAAAGGTCAGCTACTAAAAATATATTTTTTATGATTGATAGTCACACTCTTTCCAAAAAGCATTCTGTTGAAGACCTGTAAAAAGCTTTTAATA